TGCTACTCGAGAGATTTAAAACAGTAAGGGTTGGGGAGAGTGAGAGACTGAGGCAATAAGACAGTGAAAGAAGAGACAAATCTTAGGCAAGAAAAGGTACAAGTCAAATAGTCAAGGCAGACAATAGCAAGACAGAGAGCAAAATAAGACTGATCAATTAAACTGCATTTATTTCAATGTCGAGGACTGACCGGTAAGGTAGATGAACTCAGGGTATGTTTGGAAACATGCGACTGGATATCACAGGTATTACACAAACATGCTCAAGGAAGGGCAGGATTGACAGCTCACTGTTTTAAGGTACAGATGCTAGAGGAAGGATAGATAGGCCGGTGGTGGGGGTTGGGGGTGGCGGGGGGGGGGTGGTTGTTGGCGGTGGGAAGAGAGGAGGGGGTGTGGCTTTTTTTAACTCTACATGGGGAGGATATTCCTGGAAGTACATCCAGTGAAGTTATTTGGGTCAAACTGAGAAATAAGAAAGGGGCTATCACCTTATTGGAATTGTACTATAAGCCCCCCAGTAGTCAACAGGAAATTGAGAAGTAAATTTGTAAGGAGATATCAAATATCTACAAGATACTTGGATGACAAGAGATATTGAGGCTTTAACCAGAAAAAAAGGAGGACTCATGGCTCAGGTACTGGCAGCTGGGATCAAGATAATCCCTGGAGGTATACAGGAAATACAGGAGTTTACTGAAGAAGGAAATCAGCATGGTGAAAAGGGGCCAGAAGATAGTTTTGGCTGAGAAGATTAGGGTGAATCCAAAAAGATTCTTTCAGTGTATTAAAGGAAAAAGAATAACTAAAGAGAGAACAGGACCCCTCAAGGACAAAAGTGGACATGTATGTGTGGAACCACAGGAGATGGGCGAGGTCCTCAATGAATATTTCTCCCCTGTGTTTGCTGTGGAGGAAGACATGAAAACTTGGCAGCTTGGGGAAGTTAATGGCAATATCTTGGGGACAGTCTATACCACAGCAAAGGTGGTGTTGGAAGTATTAGAATATATGAAGTTGGATAAATCTCCTGTTCTTGATCAGATATATCCAAGAAACTTGTAAGAGGCCAGAGAAGAAATTGTGGGGGCCCTGGCTGATATATTTGCATCATTGTTAGCCCTGGGTGAAGTCCTGGAAGACTGGAGGGTAATGAATATTGTGCCCTCATTCAAGAACGGCTGCAAAGAAAAACCTGGGAACCATAGACCAGTAAGCCTAACATCTGTGGTAGGTAAGTTACTTCAGAAGATTCTGAGGGATAAGATATATATGCATTTGGAAAGACAGGGTTTGATTAGGAGCAGTCAGCATGGCTTTGTGCGTGGGAGATCACAATTGTGGTGCCTCACAAATTTGTTAGAGTTCTTTGATGAAGGGACCAGGAAGGTTGATGAGGGCAGGGCAGCAGACATAGTCTATGTGGATTTCAGCAAGGCCTTTGATAAGGTTCCACATGGTAGGCTGCTCTGGAAGGTTAGATTGCATGGAATCCAGGGACAGCTGGCAAATTGGATATACAATTGGCTGGAAGGTAGGAAGCAGACAGTAATAGCGGAAGGATGCTTGTTGGACTGGAGGTCTGTGACTAGTGGATGTGCCTCAGGGGTTGGAGCTGGGCCCATTGTTCTTTGTTATCTGTATCAATGATTTGGGTGGGAATGTAGAAGGCATGATTAGTAAGTTTGTGGATGACACTAAAATAGGTGGTATTGTTGACAGTGAGGAAGGTTATCAGAGATTGCAGCACAAGTTTAATCAGCTGGGGAAGAGGTCCAAGAAATGGCAAATGGAGTCTAATATAGATAAGTGTGTGGTGTTGCATTTTGGAAAATCAAATCCAGGTAGGAGTTTCATGGTGAATGGTAGGGCCTTAAGGAGTGCAGTGGAACAGAAGGACCTTGGAGTTCAGGTGCATGGTTCTCTGAAAGTGGAGTCACATGTAGAGAGGGCAGTGAAGAGGGCTTTTGGTGCACAGGCCTTCATCAGTCAGGCCATTGAGTATTGAAGTTGGGAAGTCATGTTGCAATTGTACAGGACATTGGTGAGGCCACAGTTGGAATATGGTGTTCAGTTTTGGTCACCTTGCTATTGGAAGGATGTTATTAAACTGGAAAGAGTGCAGAAGACATTTACAAGGATGTTGCCAGGATTCAAGAGACTGAGTTATTGGGAGAGGTTGGACAATTTAGGACTTTTTTCTTTAGAGCACGGAGATCATGAGAAGCATGGTTAGGGTGAATGCACTCAGTCTTTTTCTCAGGGTTGAAGAATCGAGCACATCAGTTTAAGGTAAGAGGCAAAGGAATACATGGGAAACTAAGGGGCAACTTTTTTACACAGAGGATGGTGTGCATATGGAATAAGCTACCAACGGTAGTGGTTGAGGTGGGTGCATTAACAACATTTAAAAGGCATTTGGATGAATACATGGATAGGAAAGGTTTAAAAGGATATGGGCCAACTGCAGAGAAATGGGGTTAACATGGATGGACATTTTGGTCAGCATGGACCAGTTTGGGCTGAAGGGCCTGTCTCCGTGCTGTAGGACTCCAAGACTCTACAACTAATTTGTTGGAGGGGATTTTGCGGATCAAGATCTACATGTATTTGGAAAGGCAAGGACTGATTAAGGATCATTCACATGACTTTGTGCATGGGAAATTGTGTCTCATTAACTTGATTGAGTTTTTTGAAGAAGTGACAAAGAAGATTGATGAAGGCAGAGCTGTGGACATTGTTCATATGGACATCAGGAAGGCGTTCAACAAGGTTCCACATGATGGACCGATTAGCAAGGTTAAATCACATAGAATCCAGTGAGAGATTGCCAAATAGATACAAAATTGGCTTGATGGTAGGAGGCAGAGGCTGGTAGTGGTGTATTGTTTTTCGGACTGGAGGCCTAAGACCAGTGATGTGCCACAAGGATGGGTCCACTGCTTTTTGTGCTTTATATAAATGATTTGGATGTGAATATAGGAGGAATACTTAGTAAGTTTGCAGATGACACCAAAATTGGTGGTGCAGTGGACAGTGAAGAAGGTTATCCCAGAGTACAATGGGACCTTAATCAGGGTGGGTTGATTGGCTGAGGAATGGCTGGTGGATTCTAACTTAGATAAATGTGAGGTGTTGAATTTTGCTAAGGCAAATCATGGCAGGACGTATACACTTGAAGGTAGGATCCTGGAGGGTTGTGCTGAACAAAGAACTTCTGGATGGAGGTTCATTGTTCCTTGAATGTGAAGTCACAGTTAGAGAGGGTAGTGAAGAATGCATCTGGTACACTTGCATTTATTGGTCAGTGCATTGAGTACAGGAGTTGGGATGTCATATTGCAGCTATACAAGACATTGGTTAGGCCATTTGTGGAATACTGTGGTCAACTCTGGGCATAGATTTAAGGTGAGAGGGGAAAGATTTAAAAAGGTCCTAACTGGCATCTTTTTCACGTAGAGGGTGCTGCGTGTATGGAATGAGCTTTCAGAGGATGTAGTGGAGGCTAGTACAATTATAACATTTAAGAGGCACCTGGATGGATACATGGATAGGAAGGGTTTAGTAGAATATAGGCTAAATGCTGACAAACGGTACTAGATTACTTTAGGATATATGGTTGGCACAGATGAGTTGAACCAAATGGTCCATTTCCTTGCTGTACAACTCTATGACTCTAAGAATCTTCTCCAATAATTTCTTGGCCACTGACGCAAGGGTCACTGCGCAATAGTTTTCTGTATTATCCCTGCTGCTCTTCTTAAACAAAGAAATAACATTGTGTATTTTTCAAACTTCTGGGACCTTACCTTGGCTAAAGTCAATACAGAGATCTCTATCAAGGCCCAAGCAGTTTCCTCCATTGTCTCCCTTACTATCCTCGGACAGATCACATCACTCATCAACCTTAATGTTTTCAAGACACCCAATACCCCCTCTTTCCTAAAGCCGAAATGCCCAATAATATCAATGTAACCTCTCCCTAATTATTCAGTGAGTAGAGAAAATACAAGTTGAAAGGTACAGTTTTAAAGGTGGTGAATGAAGGATAGTTTGTGTTTCTTATAATCACTTCTGGCAAAACTGAGCAGTCAATAAAGTGTATGGAAACTTTGGCTTTATAATTAGACACAGTAGGAACAGATGAAAGGAAGTTACACTGACCCTATATATAATTGCCTCGGTTACTTCCCTCCCTAAACCACACCGCTTCTTGATTGTGTTTTCGTCCCCTAAAACCTCAAAGCACTAAGCTGTGTGACCAAGATTCTGGCTAATATTGCTTTCAGTGGCTTAATGTCAAAATCTCCTTTGAAAAACCTTAAGGCATTTAAAGCAAAGGCACCATGCTAATAAGTTCTTGCAGTTGAATCAAACAAATATCACACCCTTTATTGTTTCTGAATGAACATCCAGTAGTTCCTTAGATAATGGCAAAGGGAGAACATCTTCACTACACAATCTACAAAGGTTCAAGAAAAAGCCCTTCACTGTTTTCTCAAATCAGAACTGGGCATTGGCTATTTTATACTGGGTTTGCTATCCCACAAATCAAAAATGAAGTTTAAACAAGCCTGAACATGTAAAATTGATTAAAAGGCCATAAAGAAATTTTAGTTCCTACAATTTAACACTTTTACATCTAACGGTTAGTGTCTGTTTCACAACCTAATTGCCCTTAGAATGTGCTTGCCTTTGTAATCTGATTAGAAATTGTTCTTCAACTCATCAACAGCAGCCATGTATGCCAGACAGCATTTTCAAAGTAAAACACAAAACCTCAAAAGTACTTTATAAGAGCACTGTGAAACAGATTACGATACTGAGCTAGATTAAGAAATATTAGATCAGATGACAGAAAAGGGAGCCAAACAGGAAGATTTGTCAAAGTGGTTTAAGGAAATGGCAGCTACGTCTCCATCTGCACTGCAGCACAAACCACTGTAACTAAAATGGAATTTGGATAAACACCTGGAGTGGACAAAAAGAATGATAGTTACCTTAGAACGAACCTCATTTGCAAATCAACATCCACCCTGCCACTAATTGACTCTTATTTGGACTTGTTGTGAATTTTGACTGAGTTCTGTGTGCAAGGTCTGAAATAAACCAAAAACAAAATGTTGGAGAATTTGGAAATCTTAAATAAAACATTAAAAATTGTGCAGGAGAAGACCATACCACTCAGCATTCTTGTGGCTAATCTTCAATCTGCACTCCTCTCCAAACTCCACTCCAGTTTCCTGTCTACTCCCCAATTATCTTGTTTAATCATAGAATCCCCAGAGTGTGGAAACAAGCCATCTGGCACAGCAAGTCCACTCCAAACCTCCGAAGCACATCCCAACCAGACCCATCCCTCCTCCCTTACCCCATAACTCTGCATTTTCCATGACTAACACACCTAACCTACACATCTGTGGACACTATGGGCAACTTAGCATGGACAATCCACAACCTGAGCTAGAAAATCTACTCTAAAATCTTAATGGCCAATCCACTGAGAGCATCCACATCTTTGGACTGTAGGAGGAAACCGGAGCACCCGGCAGAAACGCCACACAGACAAACTCCTGATGTCCTAAGAATTCAAGAATCTATCCATCTTAGTCTTCAATACAGTCAATAATCACCTACCTGCAAGTCTTCGAAACAGAAAATGCCAAAAGTCCAACACACATTGAGTGAAGAAATTTATTTATCTCATTCCTAAATGATTGGCTTCCTATCCTGAAACTGTAATCCTCTTGGACCAAGGTACGAAACTGTAATGAACAACCTCTCAGTATTACTCTGTGAAGCAGCTTCAGAATCTTGAATGTTTCAGTCAGATGACCTCTTAGTTTTCTAAACTCCAGACGTCCAATTTATTCAACCTGTCCTCATAAAAAGGACTCTCTTGTTCCATTGACCAATCTGCTAAACTTTCACTGCACTGTCTTTAATTAGAATACATCCTTCCTTAAATATGGGCAGCAAAACAGCCTATAATTTTCCAGTTGTGGTATCATGCAAGCCCTGTACAATTGCGGAATTTCCTTATTCTTGTACTCTAATTCCTTTAAAATGAAGATCAACAGGCCATTTCTCTTTCTCATCACTTGATGTACCTTTGTGATAATATTTTTAATGCCTTGTATGTATAACATGTGGAAATTTGTTAGCTTTTAAAAAAAAATTCAGCTTCTGTGTTTTTCTGACCAGTGAATAAGATCATACTTCATTTGTCACATTATTGCTCACTTAATTAACATTGTATCATCTGCAAAATTTAGGTAATTACTCCTTTTCTTTTATCTAAGTAATGAATATACATTGAAAATAGCAAAGACCTTAAAGTTGTTCTTTGCAGGGCTCCACTTAGCACAGCCTGCCAATTCAAAAGTGCATATTTAACTCTAATCTCACCTTCTATCTGTCAACTAATTCTTGATTGTTTCTAACATAAGGATCCCTTACCTTTGTGTATAACCCGCTTGTGTGACAATTTTCCAAATATATTTTTGAAATCCATGTACTACACCATTTGGTATTATCATTGGGTTTGAAGAGATGCCTGAGAAATAATGAAAAAAGGTAACAGAAGCGTGCAGGCAGAAAGGCTTTACTTAAAGCCAAAGTCTCAGAAAAAAATTCATTTAGTGTTAAGATGTAAAATAAGGCTATCATAAACAAACTTAAATCAGGGATATAGGGTTCTTTAAAGAAAGAAGAGTCCTAGGAAAGGTTACTGGTAAATACAGAGAAATCATAATTGCACATAATGGAACTAGACAGTTCAGGTACACAAAATGTTGCTTAATATCGGCTATAAATATGCAGATTCTGAAGAAGTTATAGAAAATAGCAAGGATCCGGGTCCTCATACCCGAATACTGAACAGACATAAGGCTTCAAATGCCAAAATAAAGAGTTTGTTTGATGAGAGATGAGTTTTCATGGTCAATATGAGGCTATTTGATCAAAAGGAAGATGACCAAAAGGTACTAAAGGGCTAAATATTTATCAGATACAGCGAGTAAATTGAGAAATTTGATCATTATAAGTAGACAAGGGAAATCTATAGGATGATTACAAAGACGAGGGTCATAAGGGTAGATCCTTGGAGTTGGAACATGAAGTACAAAGGTGGAAGGCAGGAAAATGCAGATAAGTTCATACACTGAACTGGGATCAAACATGCCCTTTAAAGCAATCATGAATTGTTGAAAGAAATCCAGGAGAAGGAGAAGTCAAACAGTAATAGTGCACAAAAAGCTAGAGCCAAGGGTGTAGTTTAACAATGCAAAAAAAAAATGAAGAATGATATTGCTGTTTCAAAACTGATATTTGTGAATGGAGAAATCACCAAATTGTAACAGGTGCATAGAAACACTCGGCTATCTGATTTTCTTTTTACAAAGAAAGGAGTGATGTTTATACTTTTATACTCCATTCCTTTGTAAAAAAGCCAAACATTTAGCTTCCTTATTACCTGGTGAACTTAATGTCAATTTGTTTTGTAATTCATGAACAAGACTCCCAAATGCCTCTATTCTGAAACTTTCTGCAGTTTTTCTCCATTTAAGCAAAATTCAGCCCGTCTCTCTTTCCTGCCAAATGGCAAAACCTGTCACTTCCACAAATTAAATTCCATCTGTCAAGTTTTTGGCAACTTGCTTACCCTGTCTATATCCCTTGACAAACTCTTTACATCCTCACCACTGCCTTCCCGTCTATTTTTCTGTCATGCGTGTTGTAGCAGCATGTTGACAAAATGGCCACTTTGGCTTTTTTAGCTGACACAAAATGGCCAAAATGGCTTTACAGTTACGTACAGCAGATGTTCACAGCTAGACTTGTAGTTTCTATGCAGATATACTAGATAAGAGCGGTTCTCTATTGGAAGAAACATTCAGGAAGTTGATCCGGTTTCTGTAAACAGGTAATTCTAAAAATATAAGCATTCTAATAAGGGGCATTTTGTAAGGCCTAATTTAGCTAAAGGCCCACATTTGTTATTTAGTAAAAAGTAGAAAGAAAAGTCTGATCCTTCAGTATTTTGAACGGTTTAGGTAGTTGTAGAGTTAGAAAGACAAACAGCAAATTAGTGTGAAAAGGTTAGTTGCATTTCTTGAGCAAATGTTTATGGGCATAAAGAGGCTCAATGCATTATTAGAGAAGATAAAGTAATAAATGGTGTATACACAACCTCCACAAAAACCATTGGCCATGTTGTAAAAAAACTGAGAGAGTTAAACAATTGAAACTGAAGTGTAGATGTAGTAATTCAAACAAATCCTTTTACATCCAAAGATCAAGGGAAGAGTGATAAAGACAGATTGAAAAATACAGAATGAAGATGTAGCTGCCTGCTAGTTGTTTATGGAATCTAAACAAATTTCATTTAATGGCTTGGTAAAGTCGTAAAGTGACTGAATTTCATCCTGATCAGTGCAGTTCAAACAGATGCTTTTGACTTAAGAAAAGATAATTAATAATGTAAAGTGTTCAGAGTGGGAATAGTAAAGCTTTATTTAAAAATGAAACTTCAGTTTAAAATCCACTTACAGCATGTAAATAATAGAAGGGATCGTAAACTGCAACTGAAAGTTAGAAGGACTGTTGTTTGATCTCTCAGGCTGAAATGAAAGAGGGGTTGTTCTCAATTTGTCAGCTGTGTTACAGTAACTTTACAGTAGAGTTGATTTTAAAGACTTTATAACAATTGCTAGAAATTAATATCCTTCCTAATCTGCACATTAAAATTAGTCCAGAATTTGGAAGATTTCTTAGTGAAAGCAACTGTTTAAGTTATTGGCAAATAATGTAGTGCAGCTGGGAAATGTCTCAGAAGGAACAAAACTGTCAGAAGCATTGTAACATCCCAAAGATAGATGATGGAGGTATCTGGTAAACATCATGAGAGTATGGGAGGTCCTATGGCTGTCCATAGAGTTGTCCATCATTGATCGCGTGTTTACTGGATTGGATGTATAGATTGGGAGGATGTGGCTGACAATGACATCAATGTTGCATGGAATTATTGTAACACAAAGGGTATAAAAATGTTGTATTTCACTGGAAAATTTAGAGTGTCATTGGCCTCCAATCTGAGCTGGTTATTAAGAGAGCAACTGCGCCCCACGTGAAGGCCGCATTTGTGGTTTCTCTGGCCTCTCCCACATATGTGGTAATACAGCTATGAATAAAGATCACTTGTGCTAAGGAACACAGGATGCAAGACTCCTCTTTGATATTTCTCTCTATAGCAATGTACAAACTGGCTATAGTACATTAATTTTCCTCAGTCAAGTCATTATTCTATATCATAAGAAACTGAAGACCCTCACCCAATCCACAAGTTTCTTCCGAGAGCAAGAGAGTGAGAGCGCGCGAGACAGCGAAAGACCATATTGGTAATGCGTATTAAATGGCAATTTCTACATTCACAGCAAGAAAAATTCCCAATTTCACCATTTGCCACACCACAGAGGTAACAGTATTGGAATATTTGAGAGAGAAATCAGAAAGGTGCAAGCATCAGAGAGAACAGAGATATAATGATAAGGAATGGGATAAACAGTCCCAGGCTAAGATTTGATTAAAGAATTCCCGACTGGATGACTAATATTGCAAATAGACTATGTGACTGTTTCTTAACTTTGTTCAAAACAAGATTGAAACTTGGATAATTGGATATCTACATGTCAACACTTGGTCCGAAGACATAGCAATTTTCTGTATTCAGGAAAGTTTCATTCTAGCCAGTGAGGAAAGGACACGTGGTACATACGTTTGAATAAATGATCGAAAGGTTCTACTCAAGACTTCTGCGGTCGATCATTAGATGTGCCGTCCTGAATCTGGCACTGGGCAGCAGCGTCGCCTTGGGGAACTTGCTCTCTCAATTGCAGAAAACGGTATCTACAAAATTAAACAAAAAAACGAAAATGCTGAAAATGCACAACAGCTTCTGCATGGATAGAAACGCCTCTTCTGGCTGATCACAGTAAATTCGACGTTTACGAAGAGCCATTCAGTAATGGCGGCTTCATTACCCACAACGCTCTGCGTCGTGAGCAGTGCTCTATCCAAACCACCCAATTCGATATTGCCGAGAGAGCGCATGCTCATCATGACGGGCAGCGGGGAATGCTGGGTGCTCCTTTGTCTCGAGCCGGACGCGGTACTTGCGAGAGAAGGGACCAGCTGCTGGCGGCAAGAGTATGGCGGAAGAGCGATAGCGCCAACTGAACGGTAACCTCGCTGCCTTCCGACTCCAGACGCCAAATGGCCGTGAACAGCAACTCTGATTCGGCCCCGAGACCCACATTCAGCACCTCTAAACCTTCTCTCTCTCTCCCTACCCCCTAAACTGACGCGAGTCACTTCCGGTAGACGCAACGCGCATGCTCGATTATGATCTACCTTCCCGGAGGAGGAAGGGCTTTTCGCGCCTGCGCTTTGTCCCCCTCTTTCCCATGTTCGTATTCTGCCGTATCCGTAGTCACAGAGTACACCGTTGTCTTGCAAAATAAACAAAACACACACACACATTCGGAAATCCGCTATCTCCCATATTCTGCGTATGTGTAAACAGTTCTTGCTTCTTCCTCACAATATCACTCTTTGAAATTATTCCAGTTTGAAAGTTGAAAGATGAGCCGTTGTCAGTTTCTGCCTGATTCAATGCTCTTAGGAATCATCTTGGAACCAAATACTCCCAGAGAGCGACGACACGGCACAGATTGGCCAAAATAAAAATTGAGTGGTGCACCAGTCTGAATGGCCTCCTGTTTTTCCTTAGTGGTGGCTTTTGTGATCAGAATTTATTGGGTACTCCAAAGCCAGAGTGTTTTTTTGTTACTTAATTGATGTTTCTATCAAGGCCATTACATGTTGCCCACCCTAATTACGCGTGAGAAGGCCGGATAAATTTCTCCGACTTGTTTTTACACTGGATAGTATTTTTTACTCGCTCAACAGATGTAATTTCGAGCAGGAACATTGTAAGTGTGAGGCATCCGCTGATGATGTTGAACTAGTCTATTAACTATCATTTCTGAGGATCGCACAGATAGATTGGGCACAGAGTCTCATACTGAAAATAAAGTGTTATACATAGAACTGGATCCAGCAAGATTCAGAATATTCAGGGGAACGAGCAAGTGCAGAAATGATTACAGCTAGAACTAGCACCTCATGGAGAAGGGAAAGTCAAACAAAAGAGAAATATAAGTTTTGGATGCTGTAATGGGTTTGGATGTTGATACTGAGTGGAGGCAGATTTGATTTGATTTATTATTGTCACGTGTATCGAGGTACAGTGAAAAGTGTTATCTTATGTCCTTCACAGGTAGTTCATACTACAAAAATGCATCAGGATAACACAACAGAGTGCTGGATGCATTGTTTCACCTGCTGAGAGGGTGCAGAGAGGGATCAGCATTAACAGTAAAGAGGTCCATTTCAAAAGTCTGATAACAGCAGGAAAGAAGCTGTCCTTCAATGTGTTTGTAGGTGTGTACGTCTTCTGCCTGGCAGAAAGAGGTGGAAGAGAGTATAATTGGGGTGAGAGGTGTCTTTGATTATTTGATTTCTTTCCTAAAGTAGCAGGAAGTATAGATGAAGTCAATGGATGGGAGGCTGTTTTGCATGATGGACTGGGCTGTGTTCACAACTCGGTAATTTCTTTTGGTCTTGGGAAGAGCAGTTGCCTTGCCATGCTGTGATACATCTAGATAGGATGAGTGAATAGGATGGGAATGTATAGCTGAAAGTAAACAAGTTCAGCAAGTATATTCTGGGAAACTATAATTGCATGTGTGCACTTCAAACCAGCCATAAGACTGATGACTTTTATGCTTTCCTTTTTACAGGGTATTAGAAGAAGAGCACTTGCAGATGGGAAACTCAAACCAAACACCATGTCAAGATCTGACAGCATCAATCAGTTCATCAGAACCTGAGTACAACCTGCCTTTGAATGTGGAATGTGATAGTTTTACCTGTTCTGTTTGTGGGAAAGGATTTCCAGAATCAATGCCACTGGAGAAGCACCAAAACATATACAACTCAAGTGAGTCTATTCCAGAACTCTGACTGTGGAATGATGTTTTATCATTTATACAGCCTGAAAAATATCATTTCTGGCACAGAATAATCATAAAACTGTTTTGTGTGTAGACCAGCTTTGACTTATCATCCAAGCTAGAGAGACACAAGAACATACACACTATGGAGAAACCCTGGAAATGTCAGGACTGTGGGAGGGGATTCAATTATCCATCCAAACTGGAAATTCATCAACGCAGCCACACTGGAGAATGGCCTTTCACCTGCTCTATTTGTGGTAAAGGTTTCAATTACCCATCTGAACTGAAAAATCATCGACGCAGCCACACTGGGGAGAAGCCATTCACCTGCTCTGTATGTGGGAAGGGATTTGGTCAGTCATCGATCCTCCAGACACATCAGCGGGTTCACACTGATGAGAGGCCATTCACCTGCAGTCAATGTGGAAAGGGATTCAGGCAGTCACCTCATCTGATTGCACACCAGCGAATTCACACCGGGGAAAGACCGTACACCTGCTCTATGTGTGAGAAGAGATTCACTCACTTATCCCACCAGTTGACACACCAGCGTGTACACACTGGGGAGCGGCCTTTTACCTGCTCTGTGTGTGGGAGGGGATTTACACGTTCATCTGAGCTTTTGACACATCAGCGGGTTCACACTGAAGAAAGGCCATTCATCTGCTCAGTGTGTGAGAAAGGATTTAATCGATCTTCTAATTTACAGAGACACCAGCAAGTTCACATGAGATTGAAGCGGTTTGAATCTTCTATTATTGCTGGTGTTAATTACACACCGGACTGAATCATGTTAATTCAATCAATATTTGTTTTGGCAGCTATTCATTAGGACCTCTGTTTAAATTTCTGGATCATTGGTTGCTTTCATTCTCAGATCTTCAGTGTCCTTTTCAGAACCACTGTTTAACAGATAAACAAGTTAACAGGAGATTTTTATAAATAAAATATAAATGCGTTTTTTTGGTATACAAAAAGGGAAATAAAACAAATCCAATAAATCAATAAAAGAAACTACATAATATATACTGAATAGGAAATTGACACCAAGAAAGAAAAATAGGATTTACAATAAACCTGTCAGCACTTATTTCAAAAGGCAAAGTGGCCAATCTTTCTTAATTCTTTGAAGAGTAACAGGAAAAGTAGAAAGAGGTAACACAGTTGACGTAATATGTTTGGGTTTTTAAAAGGCCTTCAGTCAGTGAGAATAGAATATGTTCATGACTGAAGTTGGAGCATGTGGAATCAAGGACCAGGCTGAATTGACAGGAAGCTCACTGTAAACCAGAATAATGGTGAAAGGTGGGAAGTTTTGTTCCATAGAGTTTGATCCTGGGGCTATTGTTACTCACTGTTCATGTAAGGGATTTGGTCTTGCGAATCATAAATTTAATTTTACGGTTCTTGAGTAGATTTGTAACTCGGGTTGTGGATGCTGTGGTTGGCTGACTCGTCGAACTGTTTCGTTAGTTTGCAGATGGTTCATCACCCTGCTGGGTAACATCGTCAGTATAGCCTCTAATAAAGTGCTATTGTGTTTTCCCGCCTGGTATTTAAACTCTGGGGTCCGTTGGAGTTGATTACTTAATTTCCAGTATTTCTACACAGTAGTGTATACATAGGGTCTAATTCTATATGTTTGTTGATGGCCTTCTTGGTGGAGAACCGGGCCTCTAGAAATTCCCGTGCTTGTCTCTGTTTGGCCTGTCCTAGGAGCCTGATGTTGTCCCAATTGAACTGGTGGTTCTCCTTATCTGTGTGAATGGAGACGAGTGAGTATTGGTCATGTCTTTTTGTTACTAGCTGGTGTTCATGCATTCTTGTGGCCAGTTTCCCTCCTGTCTGTCCAATGTAATGTTTGTCGCAGTTTTTGCATGGAATCTTGTATATCATGTTGGTTCTGTCCATAGTCGGTAGGGGGTCTTTGTTTTGAGTTAGCAGTTGGCATAGGGTTGACCTGCGTAGAACCATGGTAGAATGCAGAGCGAACAGGGAATTTCTGACAAAGGTACACAGAAAGGCCACACACGGATCAAGTCCTGAATTTCTACAGTTACAACACCCACAAATGAAGTTACGTGGAAACACTATTTAAACAAACGACAACACATTGCAGCAACCCAGAACTACACCAAAATGAAGAAGAATACCTATACCAAGCATTTAAGGACAACGGACACCCGAACAGCTGGGTCCGATGATGCCTATCACACAAACAACAACAGGAAGACACAGTACATCCTAACACACTCGTCATGTTATCATACATTAAGAACATATCCAAACTGACCACAAGACTCCTTACGACCACTGGGCATCAGAGTGGCACACAAACCTACGTCAACCCTACGCCAACCGCTAACTCGAACCAAAGACCTTTTATCCACATAGACAGAACCAATGTGATGTACAAGATTCCATGCAAGGACTGCGACAAACATTACATTGGAAAGACAGGAAGGAAACTGGCCACAAGAATACGTGAACAGCGAGTAGCAACAAAAAGACATGACCAATACTCACTCGTCTCCATTCACCTGGATAGGTACAACCACCAGTTCGATTGGGACAACATCAGAATCCTAGGACAGGCCTAAACAGAGACAAGCATGGGAATTTCTAGAGGCCTGGTTCTCCACCAAGAAGACCATAAATAAACAAGTAGAATTAGACCCTATATATATGGCACTGCGAAGAAATACCAGTAATGAAGTAATCAACTCTAACGGACCCCAGAGTTTAAATACCAGGCAGGAAAACACAACAGCACTTCATCGGAGGCTGTACTGATGATGTTAGCCAGCAGAGTAATGAAACATCTGTGAACTAACAAACCAGTTAGGCAAGCAAACCAACCATAAATTTAATTTTTATAGTTTGTAGATTAAAGTAAAATGGAAGCATTGTTTGATAATAGTGAAGAAGACTGTGATCTCATTTTTATAGAATAATTCACTTGTTTAAGGTCATGCAAGTGCCCAAATTTGGTTTAGGACTTATGGCCCCTTGAAACTGCAGCCTTTCAATGACACCCTAGCTGATTGGATTGTGGCTCCAACTCCCAAATCCTGCTGGTAATCTTGGACTCATGTCAGGAAAGGATCTCTTTACTGGTGCCTTAAAAAAAATTCAATGACCATGCCTCCACTACTCTTTGGAGGAGTACGTCCCAAAGATTCTCAACTCTTGGAGAAAATGAATTCTCTCCATCTCTGTTTTAAATGACACAGCTCTTATTTTTGAACTGCATCCCTAGTTCTAATCTCTCTCACAAAAGCAAAGAACTTTTCATCATCCTCCCTCAACGCCCCTCAGGATGTTAGCTAAATATAGTAATGGAATACTCTCTGTGTTTATCTATTTTAGCATAACAAATAAATGACTTTATATTCACTTTTTTAACCTTCAGAAAGTTTGGATATAATGCTAGAAAATAGCAAATGCGAGCAAAATGTTTCCCTATAGCAATTGCTCACAGAAATATGCAGATATTTCACATATGCAAACTTCATTCAGTTTTCTGTAAGCTAAGACTCCAGCTTTAATAGATGAAAAAGTTTGATCCATAATCAAGAGTTTTTTGTTGATGGAAGATTGTCTAAATATTATGAATGTGGCAAATGATCTTCTTGTCCACCCCACCTATTAACAGAATGTAGTCACATTTGACAGTCGGGGTTGATTCTGCTGTAACTACTGTTAAACACATCCAGGACTGTAATATGGTAGTGCGTGGGCACGAGTTTCTGCATTCATAATTTTATTACTTTTTAATCATTATCAATTTTATGTGTTGGCTCTGTGGTTCAAAACTGCATTGGATCATAGAACATAATTTCTATTCACTTGATAAGATGTTTCAACAGCAAAGCTGTTTCCCAAAATTCCCTGTGGAACAGAATGTTCCCTATCTTTAGTATCGAAACCTCTTGAAATTTGTGAAGTCAGTATGATCTCAGGTTTATGCCGGGTATATTGGGAGACAACAATGGAGAGATTTAACGACAGATTAGATTCATACAGCACAGAAACAGGTATTTTGGCCGAACTTGTCCATGCCGACAAGGTTTCCTAAACTGAACTAGTCCCATTTGCCTGCATTTGGCCTTTATCCCTCTAAAACTTTCCTAGCAATGTAGCTGTCCAAATGTCTTTTAACTTTTCTAACTGTACCCACCTCCATCACTTCCTCTGGCAGCTTGTTCCATAATGCACCACCTTGCGTGTGAGAATATGCCCTTCACATCCCTTTTGAATCTCTCCCTTCTTACCCTAAACCTATGCCCTCTAGGTTTGCAGTCACATATCATGGGGAAAAGACCTTGTGTATTCACCTTATCCATGCTTCTCATGATTTTATAAAACTCTGTAAGATCACCCCTCAGCCTCTTATGCTCCAGGGGTAAAGGTCCTAGCCTATTCAACCCTCCTGAAAATTCAAAACTTCTCGTCTCGAAAACATACTTGAAGGCTTTTTTGCACCATTTCCAGTTTAATAACATCCTTCCTATAGGAGGGCAATCAGAATTGTATGCTGCACTCCAAATGTGGCCTCACCAATGTCTATAACAGCTGTAACAAGACATCTCAACTCCTGTACTGAAGGCTCTGACTGATGAAGACAAGCGTGCCAAACAGCTTCTTCACCAGCCTGTCTACATGTGATGCTACTTTCAAGAAACTAAGTATGTACATCCCTCAGACTCTTTTAACACCACTCCCTCGGGCCCTACCATTAACTGCAAGTCCTGCCCTGGTTTGTCTTAGCAAAATGCAATACCTCACATTTACCTGCATTGAACTTCATCTGCCATTCCTCCATCCACTGGCCCAATTGATCAAGATCCTGTTGTACTCTGAGATAACATTTTTCATTGTCCACTATACCACCAATTTTGGTGTCATCAACTAAATTACTAACCATGTCTCCTACATTCACATCCAAATCAATGGTATAAATGATGAACAACATGGACCCAGCAACGATCCTTGTAGCACACTGCTGGTCACAGACCTCCAGTCTGAACAATAACCTTCACTCTGTCTCCTACCATCAAACCAATTTTGTATCCAATTGGCTACCTCTCCCTGGATTCTATGTGATCTAACAATACTAATCAGTCTATCATGTGGAACCTTGTCGAAGGCATTGTTAAAGTCCATGTAGACAAAGTTTTTCACTTTGCATTCCCCTAAATTCTTTATCACCTGTTCAGAAAAATCAATCAGATTTGTGATACATGATTTCCCACACACAAAGCCATTCTGACTATCACTAATCAGTCCTCTAATCAGTCCTTGCCCTTCCAAATGCATGTAGTCCCATCTCAAAGAATCCCTTCCAACAACTTACCCGCCACTGACTTTAGGTTCAACAGTCTGTAGTACCCTAGCTTTTCCTTGCAACCTTTCTCAAATAATGACACAACATTAGCCACCCTCATTCTACCGGCACCTCACTTGTGGCTGTTAATGATACAAATGTCTCTGCTAGGGGACCCACAATTTCTTCCCTGGCTTCCTACAATGTCTTGAGATACAATTGATCATGTTCCAGGGATTTATCTACCTTGATGCATTTTATGACCTCCAGCAACTCCTCTTCTGTAATATGACTGTTTTCATGACATCACTATTTATTTCCCAGAGTTCCCTAGCTTCCATTTCTTTCTCCGATACTGATGAGAATTATTCATTTGAGATCTTACCCATCTCCTGTGGCTCCACACGTAGACAACCTCATTGATATTTAAGCAGCTCTATTCTTTTCCTGGTTACCCTTTTTCCTTTAATATATTCGTAGAATCCCTCTTTGGATTACCCTGAGGCATGGAAGGAATTAAGTTATCAAAGAGGTGAAAATAGGCAGTGTTCATGTGAGTACAGATATGTATGCAGAAACTCGTCTTGAAGGAGGACAGCAAGAAAAAAAAAACTCTTTTAGGTTTGGAAACCTGGTAATAAGAGGGTTAGAGTTGATAGTCAGGGAATGGAGTTTGGAAAGGGGAACAAAAGCATTGGCTTCACACTTACCAATACTTAATTGAACAAAATTTCTCAGATCCAGTACTAGATGTGGTTAAGTAATTTTATAATTTAGAAAACGTGGAGGAGGCAAGCAAGAAATGTGAAATTGAATTGAATATCATTCAAACAATTCAAAACAAATGCTATGTTTTTTGATAATCTCACTGATGGACAGCACATACATGAGGAATCGATGGGGGGAAAGGGTAAATCTTTAAGGGATACCAGGGTGATATCATTGGAATGGGATGAAAAGACATTACAAGTGAACATCTGGCTAAGATTCGATTGATAAGAATGGAAAAGAATCAAAATATTCTTATGCAGCTGGAGAATAGTGGAGAGGTATTGAAAGAAATGGTATGATGAACCATTTCAAAATTCGAAGACAGATTAAGAAACTGAATAAACGTATGAGATGTCTTGATGATTTTGATGTCAGCTATTTTGTTATTGC